GCTAAATTTTATTAAAAAGATAAGCACGTTGACATTTTTTACTTTAATTCTTGATCTTCTAACCGATATTATTTAATACTTTGTAATCTTTGTTATTTAAAATTTAAATTTAGATTGGCAAACTATACACACGTATCACGAGATTGCTTGGAATAGAATCGGCAACTGAAAACTATAACTGCTATCTATAGTATAACACGACTCTATGGATGTGTCAGAATATATCCCGAAGCGCAGAACAAAAATATCGAAACAATCAATAATCATAAAAAAGATATTGCTTGCTTTCGATAGCGGAAACTATACCGATAACAATCGATATTTCTCCATCTCTACTAGATGTGTCCATTGTATGCAAAGTGACTGTAACGAAGTGATCCAATATTTGTACTGTTCGATGCAAGAAGGGCCTCAAGAAGCTCAAGCCCTTTTTGAGTAAAATACTTGATTAGATTCTACATTCTTTTCTACAGATGCCCTTTAAATTTCATTGTTGTATCTTCAAAATTGACAGAGCTACAGCAAATTTTATAAATCGAAGTTGGCCAACTGACTCTTACTCTTCTAAAAATATAATTCAAGCCAAACATAATTCAACCTGAATATAGTACGATTTGCATGTATAAAGTTTTCAATTATTTTCCTTCTGCCTTTCCATTAAATGTCATAAGGTTAACCGATTTTTTAGTTTTGTGATTGTGAATGGATTTACCAAAGTAAACCAGAAGAATGGAATCTTCAGACAGTGCAGTAGACAATGTTCAATGAGGGAGATTAGAACTTTTTCATCGTTTTTTTATTACTATACTGTTTTAATACTATATAATTTCTTCAAATTTTATGTAAATATTAAACGAATAATACAAAATAATGTTAAAAACAGTATCTACTGTTTTCTGTATATCACCATTTTACGCAATAAGAGCCTCAGAATTCTATAATTAAAATTCTTTGCATTCATTAATATATTACATAACTCGGATTGTGTCATTAAAATTATAAAGAAGAAATATCAAATTTTTTAATACTATAGATAGTCTTGTAACAACTTCACTACACATTAGAAACAATTAACCTTTAAATGTTTAGAGACGTTTTTCTGGAAACTGACTTTTGTCACTGTGCCCTTTCTTGCATCCAACAGTGTATTTTCTTCATAACAGTTCTAAAACATTTTTGTCTCTATGTTAAGAGAAACAAAAGAACGTGACTTTTATCGTACCACGGAAAATAATCAAGTTGCTAAGACGATTAATACAAACGAACTACTCAGTAGATAAGCGCCTAAAGGCATTCTAAACAGAAGGCATTAACAGCGAGCATCGTATTCTCACGAATTTGACAAAAGCGAACAACTAATCCGTATTACAGTGGAGAGAACAGAATCCAGCGGAACAGTGCGGAGTTCAACATACGACAATGGTGATCGAGGTGCAGGCACTACCGTTGTCCTGAATGCTTGTGGCGCGTCCTCAAGATTAAGACGAGGGTTTTCCTCCTCCTCCCACGGATATTTCCAAGGTGCTCTCCAGGAAGTACCGTCTAGGGTGAGAAAATGACGATCGAATATCGTCTGGACGAGAAAATGGGTCATCAGAATTTGACTGACCAGGGAATCGGTGAATGGTTACGAAAACTTATTTTTAACCTTTACGTCAATAATCACAATTGTCGTTTACTTCATCGTCCAATTTTAGCAGCTTTCTGTTAACGAAATTCTAAACTTGAGGCAAACACAGATAGGAAATGTGTCAAATAACAACTTTTACCGGGAAGATAAAATATTTTAAGTGAAAATGTGCAGAAGGATACCCAGTTATTAACGTAAGGGTTAATCATACACAAGTCGACGAGAAAGTCTTCGTTTTATATGTGATAAAATTTTGATACATGCCGTATTGCGTTATAGCTTTTGGTCCATTGCTCTTTTGATGAAATATAGTGACATATTCTGTACTTTTTAATTGATTGAAAATAGCAAAAACAGATGAACGAGTTAAGTGGTATGAAAAGATTTATTTTTCCAGTACGACTTTTTCCATTTTGAATGAAATGGCGTGCAACGTCTCAAGTCCAAATACACCCACCTCAGTTATTTTCATTATTAGTAGACAGTTCCAAATTTTTTTTGGTCATAGAGCGACACAGTTTCAAAGGTTCCCGAAGGTATGACCATAAATTTTTTCCATGTTCTTTTTTTGAATAAGTTTTCGAAGTCACATTTATTGTTTTTAAGTACAAATTTTATACATATACATATAAGAAACCACTATATTGTGGTCGTTGAATTCGTCTCAATGCCTGCTAGCTAATGGGCAAAAAAAAAGACTATTGGGTTATACATAAAAAAATTGAACGTGGCCTTAAAAACTTATTTTAAAAGAGACAGAAATAATCTAAATTCATTATCTTGAAGATCCTTTAAAATCGTATCATCTTTAACAGAAAAAATTTTGATAAATCTATTAATAACGAAAATAATATAAGTAGTCACTTAGGTGGTTCGTTCTGTACTTTCGTGATCTCCTACGTAGATACATTTTTATGAAGCCTGTGTAGGTATACAAATCGTGCTAAAATCTATCGATTGAAGTATTACTATATATTTTATCGAATATTATTTATTTATTTATTGTTATAATCATATATGTATGTTCTATATAGCATTCAGCTAGAATGAGTTACATGTTAAAGCAATTTGAAAATTGTGTTAAATACAATTTTTAGATACAAATAAAAGTAATTTTTAATCTTTTTAGTATAATTAAAAGAAACTTGTTTGTCTTATTTTTTCATTTATTTTTGGAATCTCTTATACCGTTTAATAAATTTGACATTAAGATTTATAACATTGAGCGCATTTTATATTCTACAGTCCCTGCTCACTTTATTAGACTCACCTCTATAATTATGATATTTTTAGTTTTACCATGAATAATGGGTATAGTAGCCTTATGCAAATATCACTTAATGATGACATATGAATTTTCCATATATTTATTTTACAAAAACAATGGATACAAACACAAATAGATCAATATAATTCTTAAAACAGTAATATTTTGTTAATCCGCCCTTAGCTGCTCTTAAAGCCGCAACTCTTCTGGGCATGCTATCTATGCAAGTTTGTGCAATTTCTTTTAATGCAACGTTATGGTACCAGAGATAGATTATTCTCTCTATCGACTTGGTCTTTGTTGTTATATTTTCTTTGGCCAGTTCTCTTTTCAGGCACTCCCAGACATTTTCAATCGGATTCATGTCCGGTGAGTTGCCAGGCCATGGTAAAATGGGGATTTTTTGCTCTTGCAAGAAAATTTTGATTTTTTTGGCAGTATGACAAGGTGCCCCATCTTGCATGAACACCTTGCGTCCATTGCCAAACCATTCTTGCAGCTGGGGGAGCAACTTTGTCTCCAGAACCTTCCGATATTGTTCCTGCCGCATAGTTCCCTCTACGACGTAAAGCCTTCCCATTCCCTTTGCACTGATGACTGACCAGATCATCACGGACGCAGGACGCTTTACTGTCCTGACTACACAATTCACATTATATTTTTCTGTTGGACGTCTTCTTATGAACTGGGCCCTATCGTCCATAATTTGAAAGGTCGTTTCATCACAGAAGCAAACCTGCGAATGTGTAAAAGTAATAAATTTATCAAAATGGGATTAGATTTATGAACTTACCGTTTGCCAGTCCTCAAGAGACATGTCATTGTGTAAATTGGCCCAGGCTAAACGTTTCTGTACCATGCTGGGTGTCAGTTTGGGCTTTTTAATTGGCCTCTGACATTTGAAGCTCATCGTATACAAATTTCTTCTTACTGTAGCAACTGATCCAGAAAAGCCTGCCTCCTGAAATCGTTTTCTTAGATCACTGTGGGATGCCCTTCTGTTCTGCATAGCTAAATTTCTTAAAAATCGTTGCCCCCTGGGGGTGACTAACGGTTTTCTGCCACAGTTACCAGCCCGAGCAGCTGTAACTGGTTGGTTCATTTGCACTTTTTTACTTAAACGTTTGACAGAGGATTGCGATACCCCACATTTTCTAGCAATCTCTCGTTGGCTATATTCTGTATTGCGAATTAATGCAATTACAGACGACTTTTGCTCTGTAGAAAGATCTTTACGTTTGCCCATCTGAAAAATTCCAATCGAAGATCAATCGACTGATGCCTTTTTTAAAACCACAATAAAAATTATAGGCAGTAGTATTAATTAGTGAAATAAATACTTACCTTAGAACTTCTAATGCTGTGCAAAATGAAATGTGCAAAAATTAATATTGAGAGCCTTGATTATAATGTAATACACAACAAGCGAAAACTACAAAATTTCTAGGTTAAGAAACACTTCAATCAGAATTCGATATTACCGACCTAATTTTAAATCAAACCAACTACATTTGGATAGGCAACCCATAAGGCAACCTTGTAGTACGAAATCATTACCTCATAGGTTGAAAACAGCGTTGAATTCCTTATAGGATTTCAAAAAGCACCAATTCTTCAGGTGAGTCTAATAAAGTGAGCAGGGGCTGTACATGTACTTTCATATTATAAACATTCTATACGTTATACTTTAATCTTTCCTGTTAATTTCAAAACCAGCACTATTTATCTTTAATTACGTTTTTTTGGTACATAAAAATTTGTTACGAACAATTTTTAGAAAGCATTTAAAATATGTCATAAAGTACTTATTTTTTAACTTACTTGTTATAATATATTTCTATTTATCTAACTCACAAAGATAACGTAAAGCAAATAATTATAGAAAAGTACGTTTAATTTTGGCATTTAACGTATTCTTCCACCACTATTTTTACCTTTTACCAATTTTAAACAAAAAATACGAGTCTGTTAACGTATAATTCTGTACAAAATATTCAATAATTTTCCTTTGAATATAGCAGGTTGTAGTTATTACAGCAATTACCATGTCATTAATTTTAACGGTATTGTTTCAGTTACAAAAGGTGTCCCTTTCTTTTATATTACAAAAATTTTAAAAATGATATCACTTCACTAACAGGTTTCGTGACAATGAATTACCACTGTAATTACACTGCACGCGAAATATAGAAGATTATGAGTAAAACATTTAATTCGCTACTGACAATGAGGAATTAAAACTTTTATTACATTTATTTTATGAATATTCCTGAAACGAACGTTTTGTGCGCATTTTTAAAAGTAAACAACATTCAAATTTTTCAGTATACGAAAGTTTCGTTTAGAAAAATTGATATACGATTTATAATACTGTTATTATCAACATTCAGTTGAATACTATTGAAAATTTAAATTTAGAACAGTTAAAGATATTTAGAGATGACTGCATGTTTTACAAAAATTGCGGAATTCAGGTGTAAAACGCGTATTTGAAATTTGTTACTAACAACAAAAACAAATTTTCAGAAATGGACAGGTTTTTTCAAAACAAATGACAAGTTATTTAGTATTTCGTGGCATATGTGTAGTATTCATTACGATACATTATTCGATAATAACCAAATGAAAACGGGTCAACTTCCTAATTGCTAACTTCTGCTAATTGCTCTGACGAGAAAATTCGAAAATTCTGTTAAATTTAATCTAAAGTGTTTAAATACATATATTTTGTTATAGAATTAAAAGACTTATTTTCTATTAAAATAATATATTCTACCATGTCGTGTTCGTTCTTTTTGTATAAATGACTTTTTAAAAATAAACAAATATACATAACATATAATTTAAAGTGCAGACTATTGTCGGTTCCACATTGCTAACTATTGATCGACACAAAATATTATTTCTTTTAAATATCTACATTTTTGTAAATATTCTGAGGGATCATCTTTAAGTAACGTATAGAAGTAACGAACATCATTACCACGAAATATTTTTTTCTCCTGTTAAGTTACACTTAAGATTACACTTCCTGTAATTTATTTCTGTTTGCATTAAAACCTGCATGTTAAATGATCTTTGAAAACAGAGGTTCCCCGGATTTATCAACTTATTGGCAACCCACTAATCCACTTTCTCTGGGAACTTATCGAAGTCTTAAACCTATCAAGATCTTAGATCTAATCAACTGCTTCAACCTACTTTTACAGAACTTGAATTCTCTATGCAGTGTATAGGTTTGCGTACTTGTACATATGTACGTATGTGAGTACTGTTCCCAATTCATCTTATTGTCAGCTCATAAAATGATTAGAATTAGTCATTTCGGAAAAATTGGAATTATTTAATTATTTGTGTCAATTTTAATAAATATTCGATTATTACACATTTTATTACCTGCATATTTGAATGTTTGTAGTATTCCATTACTTCATATTATGAATTTATAAAACGAAATTCTTTAACTCTCAATTTTTCTAAATTCACTCGTTTCATTTTGTGTTTCACAGATGTTTCATTGCAGAGATTAACAAATTCATGTCATTCATACGCAAACAGCTATTTTTCAAGAAAATCGTGGTTTTCTTTTCTTTCAGCTTTTTCGTCCAAAAATGAAGTAGAAAATAGTTAAGAAGGATTAGAACAATTAATACTGCAGTAAAAATCTTATCATC